TATCTAACTCTATTAAGTTCTTATTCATAGATTCTTATTAGATGATGTGATAGTCACATTTTGAAGATTTGCAGGATCTAAGAGAAAGAAGGAAGTTTAAGAAGATCAAGTTGAATCTGATCGTGAAAGATGGATTTTGCTCGCATAGTTCGATGATCAGATTTTGGAGCTGCTGATTAGGAGTTATGATAGATTAATAGATTGCTTAGGAAATATCTAGAAACATAGTTTTCATATATATTTGCATTGTAAGGATAATTTTTCTGCACATTATCAATAAAGTAAATTTTGTGTTTTTATCTTATTTACTTTTTTCTTCCATGCAATGGTATTTTTGAAAATTGGTGGTAATATTTCTATTCTTAGCAATATTAAGTGTGGATTGATTCTTGATTATATATCATTTATGGTAATGTCATAATCAACCAAATGAAAAGAAATTCTCATCACCCAAGGTTCAATTGGATAGAAACTTGGATTCATATAATTCGAATTGTGTGATGTATGAGAATCTGGATCGTTGGGAGACTATGATTAATTCCTTGTTCACATGTTTGTGTGAGACAAGTGAAGGACTAAATTATCTAGTACACATTGATGTGGACTGTTCAGATCCACCACAAAGGAAGATAAGTCTATTCGTCATAATTAACTAATGGTTATGCTTATAAGATTAAGTGTAATTTTGATACTTTGGAAAAGTTTCAAATTGTGGCAGAACGAATAAGAAGAATCGATTAGGCAGAAAGATAAAAGTTTCTCCGATCGAAAAGGAAAAAAGAGTACTTTAGTATCATGTTTTATGATCATTTTCATGATTATGGAACCATGTTAAAATTGATCCTCTAAGGACATCTTAGTGAATTTTTTTTACTAAGAAGAGGAATCTAGTATTGTTGAAATGGTTTGATCATGAGATGAGTCATACTTCGTTTTTCCAATCAAGTTTTAGAGTCACACTCTAGTAATTTCGAATCGAATCTTGAAGCTTATAACACCTCATGAAATGTGGAGTAGAAAATTTTTCTTACTCTAGCACATTTGAAATTGGTAGTTGTGATGTTTTGGTTAAAACAAAGATAAACTAAGACCAATTTAATGAAGTGTATTCTTCATAAGAACCCACAGTAACTTTTGAAAATTTGTTTTTGCTTGTCAAGGATTGTTCCTTGAGACAGAAACTTATATGTCAAGAAGTCACTGGGAGTCTTATTGGTCTTGAAGAGTTTCAAGATTCAGTCAAGAATAAACCGTTTAGTTTTACTTGCACACGACTTGAGGTTTATAACCTATCGTGTTAAGTTGACAAATTTTTGTTTCCATGCACCGTCCAGTAAAGTTAACTATGCATGTGAGTTCTATGAGTCCTCATTTGAATGCAGTAGGCATAACACATTGGTCAGTGATAGTACATTGGTCAATGGAAGTGAGCTGCTTGACAACATGGAAGGATTGGTAGGCGTTGTGCGACTAGAAGGCAAGAAATTAAGAGTAAACAAAGTTCAGTCCATGGAAGGGAAACTAAATTTGATTTTGGTTTTGTCCTCAACCTTATCTTATGATTGTAGGTTGGAAATGAAAAATTCGCATGGATAGGAACACATACACCATAAAATCTAGGTGGCAAAAGGTTTCACTCTAATTCATGAAAATGATTATGAGGAAACACTTTCTCTAGTAGATTTTAAATCTGAATTGGTTAGCAGTTGTGATAATTGTTTTCTCAAATTCGTATATGATTACGACATCCCTTTTCATAGTTTGAATTGTGAGAAATGGCAAGAAATAGTTTGAACCTTCATGAATTATTACTATAAGTTCTGAAAGGGTTTAAACACACACGCATGATAACTATGAAAGGTGTATGGGCTTGAGAAGTCTAGATAGAGACTTATCAAAGCATCACGTTTCAGAAATCTGAACTTTAGTAAGAAAATCAAGAGCATTGATTTTCTGAATACATGTCGATTTCTGAATACATGTCAAAGCTAGTGGGAGCATAAGTGTTATGCTAATGGGAGCATAATTGTTATGCTAGCAATAATATAATTATTATGCTAGTGGGAGCATAATTGATTTTCTGGAAGTCCAGTTGATTTAATGGAACTTAGTCATAGACATATATGAATATCATGTTGAAGTGATTTAACATTAGAAATTCTATATGTGGAAATATTATAGCAGAAGATTGATCAAGTATCAAGTCTTTATGTAAGACATTATGTATCGAATCCCATATGCTTCAGATATAGGATTGATCACAAATGCTATAGTATTCGCTTGTTCAGATTTTTCCAAATGCCTAGGGCATTAAGAGGGAAAAAGGACTAGAACAAGATATGACTAAATTTGTTAAACAATTACCAAGAACAATCCGAGGTTCGCTGAAGATTGGTTGCTTGTGGACAGTTGGAAGTATAATAGCATTTGGACGGACCATACTGACATATTTCGGATTGGGATAATTCTTGATCAGAATTGATAGTCATATGGGATTATGGAAATGTTTCCATAATGAGAGTTGGTGATTAGAATCTGAATGCGAGTTAGAAACCTTAATGCAAAGAATCTGAATGTGGACATGTTTCGGATTACAATCTGAATGTGGACAGTTGGAAGTATAATAGCATTTGGACGGACGATACTGACATGTTTCAGATTGGGATAATTCTTGATCAGAATTGATAGTCATATGGGATTATGGAAATGTTTCCATAATGGGAGTCGGTGATTAGAATTTGAATGTGAGTTAGAAACCTTAATGCAAAGAAGGTGTTCAAGGAATTACCTTGAATTTGATACTTCATTACCATGAAATTGTTTTAAGTAACAAAGTTCCATTGGATCATTTTGTAATGTCGTTGGCAAAGTCTCTGTGACTTTGAAGCCTCGAAATTACAAAAGATGATTGCATGGAAGGGTAGACTCTAACACATTTAGTAATGAAAAGAATTTGGAATTCTTACTAGTTCTAATAAGAAACTGAAAATGTGAAATGAGCATCATTGGAATAATGTCAAATTGATCTATTCACAAAGGAAGGACCATAAAGAGACATAGTATGCATGTTTATTGCATGGCATGTCTAATGTTTAATTCAAGTGATTAGTTGATTACTCGTAACATTATACAATTAATAAAGCCTAATTAATATGGTGATTAAATCAAATGAGTTTTATTTATATTCAATAGTTTTGAGACCATATTTAATTAGGTTGTTATTGTGTTTCACTTCAGATGTTTTACTTCCCGAATAATTGGATTATTTAAAACATCTACAGTCGATCATACTTTGGAAGTAAGTAGTGAATTAAGACCGTCATGAATTTGACTGTAGATTGTCTAAGAGCTTAGACATAGCAAATGTTTGTTGCAGTGTTCGTGAGTACTTTTGAAATGGTGATTTTAAGTATTGGATTAACCCACGCTCAGAGAATTACTTCATGGATTTTATCACGAGTAATTTTGAGACGATAATATCTTATATTCTTGAAACGGAGACATATGAGTTGTTGTTTGCAAGTCAGTTGTGCACTAATAATACGTAAACGCGTCAGTAACTTGATGTTATAAAACATATTGTTGTGCATGATTTGATGCGTAAGCAGTACAAGCATATGAGTCGAAGTTTATTCGTTCCTTTTGCCTTAATGGGAAAAGCGATATATGTGGTCCCCTCGATGATTTGATGATGACATCTAAAGCGCTTGGCCAAGCCTGGACTGAATTGATGTGTTCAATTTGTAGTCTGAATCAGTCGTCATAAAACAGAAATCCGGAAACAAATCTTGGATATAGAGATTGATTATAATCCATGTCTCATGTCCATACGATATCTTGTAGAATGGAGGAATATTGGCTTTTGAAAGCTACGATTGCTAGTCAAATTTTGAGGTCATACTTGCAATCATAGTTATTAGACTTATCCAAGTGGGAGACTGTTGGATTATGTGTCTAAGACCATAATTATAATCGTTATGTACTTGATTTAATAGTAGCATGGTCCTTTTGGGTTGCCTTCACTCTAGCAACTTGACAGGATGACTTTTGGAGAGAGAGATTGAATTTATTATTTGGAATAATAAATTGATTTATTAATGTATTATGAAAATAATATGTTAATTAGAAATCATGTTACTTAATTATTATTTAATCATAAATTAATTTGGAAATAATTTTGGGATTAAAGGAACTGATTAAAGGAACATGGACTGTTTTGCAAATCATTGACAGTTGTAAGACTGGGCTATTGGACTCCTTAGAATGGGGTGGACAAAAACTATAGGGAGGCCCTATAGGTTTCGTCCAATCCCTATTGTTGGAGAGTCCTTGGGTTGCTTAAGCCTTAAGCAGGAAATTAGGGTTTCCTCCAGAAACCCTAGCAGCCCACAACTATATAAGGACCCCTCTACCTATGACATTCGGCCAATGATTCTTGATAGAAACCCTAGCCGAAGTTCTTAGGGCTTTCCTTCCTCTCTCCTCTCATCCTTTTGCTAGTAGTGTTTGTGAGCCATTAAAGGTGCAACATTTGAGGCACTAAGCATTCAAGAGTCAAGGATCTACAGGGAGTTCTTGTTATTACTATATAACAAGTAAGGTAATCATCAAAACCCTTTTGTTATATGATTTTCAAAATTGTATGCTAGATATAGAGTTTATTGCTTTGGTATTCAATTGCATGTTCAACTAGTGAAAAACTTAGATCCAAAGCAATTAGGGTTGCATGATCACATAGGTTGTAGTTATGCTCATAACCCATCACGGAGAGACTTTGAAAGTCAATCATCACATCCAAGCACACATACCTCAGCCAATTCTTCAACTGTTACTGACTAGTTTGTTTCAAGAAGCTCAATCCATGTGAATTCAATGAGTGTCAGGATCCTGCAACAAATTACATAATATTCATAAGTCATAGGGGCGTACATCATAGTCATTGTATACTTGTATCAAATAACTAAGTAAGGTGCTGATGGAGGAGATAATTAGGAGAAAAAATGAATTTCAATGGAAAGAACCGATTTCAATATATAGCGAATGGAGAAGTTGAAGAAGGAGACGTGATCGGAAGAGGTTAGCGATTATAGGAGATAAATGAGGAGCGATCAAAGCAAACGAATAAGTTAGGGAAGAGGTTGTAGATGATCTCATATGTTTTTGGGAGGAAATCGAAGAAAATTTTAAACCGATTGAACGGACTGTGAACGTGGGGAGAAGAAGAAGGAAGCGTGCGGAGGAGCCTGAACCTCCGATTAACTGTAAATATTGAGTTATTACGGCTAAGATTGACTGAAGGGGGAGTTTAAATGGCTGAGATGAATTTGATAGTTTTAGACTCACCGTCATCCATATCCAATTTTGGTATCTATTTTATGCAATTACTATTTTTTGTAGTTGATAAGGTCAAATATTTATTTTTTGAGTAAATTATACGAATAGTCTCTATGGTTTGAGGTAATTTGCATGCTGGGTCTCTAGCTTATTTTTTTTAACTTAGAAGGTCTCTACTGATTGTTTTTGTTGCGCGCTTGGTCCCTATTTTACCTAAAAATATTATTTTGCCCTTGATTTTTTAATTTATTTAAATAAGGTGGGGTGGGTAAGGTAAGGTAAGGTGAGGTGGAAGTGGGATTGCAGACGTGTTTATTTAAATAAATTAAAAAATCAAAGGCAAAATAGTGTTTTTAGGTAAGACAATGACCAAACGCGCAACAAAAACAAACAGTAGAGACCTTCCGAGTTAAACAAATAAGTTAGAGACCAAACGTGCAAATTACCCCAAATCATAATGACCATTCGTGTAATTTACTCTTATTTTTTTATTTGTCAATCTTTTTTAAAAAGATCAATAAAAATATAGTAGTTTAAAATATAAATTATAAATTTTCTAAGTTGGTATTATTATTATTATTATTATTATTACTTTTTTTTTTAAATTCTTAATTAAATTAAAGGAGTAAGAATATTAATAAAATTTAAAACCAACAATATGTGAGATCAAGAAATTTTACTCATGTTTCGCACAACAATTTTCTTCATCCCCGTCTATTTAGGTCCGACCAATCCGACCCTATCCAACATCCCCTTATCTCTTTCTTGATAAATCAAAAAGATGACGACTAAAATTGATTCCGTCGTCACCCTCACCCTCCTAAACCGACAACACATCTCTCATTTTTTTCTTCTCCATCTTCATCGACTCCATTTTGGTCTTACACTTCATAAATCGAAAAAGGCTTGGGGATTGTTGAATCGATCTTGCATCAGGTGTATTTAGGTTTGTTTTCATCTTGCATCTGGTGTATCAGATTATACATCTTGAATCGATTTGCATCAGTTTTTGCATTCGATCTTGCATATGGTGCATTGCATCATAGAACTTTTTTTACAACTAATTTACATTTGCATTCGATCTTGCATATGGTGCATTGCATCATAGAGCTTTTTTTACAACTAATTTACGCTAGATTTTTTGCTTCATAAGGTTTTTTTTTTTTTTTTTCAACCGGTTTAGATTTTGTTTTTGGGTTCTGACGTATTGTATCATAGTTATTTAATTTTTTTTTTATTTTTTTTTTTATTTTTTTTACATCTGAGGATTTTCTTTGAAGTAGATAATTTTCTTCACAGATTATTTTGCAACTGATTTGAATGCTTCAGAGGTTTCTGAAATGGATTTGAGAAAACACGGCTGTCTTTTAGATTTCATAAGGTTTTTATATTGATCGGTGAAGGGAGTAGAGTTTCCGATGATATGTGGGTTTTAGGGCAAGAATGAGGAAAGTTTATGTAGGTTTGTATGTAAGGGAGGGGATGGGAGGGAAGAGAGGGGGAAGAAGGAGTGTGTGCAGGTGGTGTCTAGTTAAGTCGTTATAGTTTTGGAGGTCGAAGAAGATGATACTCAAGGTGAAGGTGGAAGGTTTGAGTGATACCCATCTTGTTTAATAAACATTTTTTTTATTTTCTCGGTCTCAAAATTATAATCAATTTTTTCTTTTTGGTTTATCTTAAAATACTAGTCTATTTTTAAAATTAAATAACATTTTTATCAAAATATTCCCTCATTATTACTTAACCAACTAAGTATTGAATGGAACATTAAATTGAAAGTAAAGACAAAACATTTTGTTGTATAAAGTTAATGGTAATTAATGTTTCTTTAATCTGTATGTTTTTTGTCTATGGACAATAATTTTGAGACGGAGAAAGTAATAGGTAAATAACAAAGAAAGAATAGAGAAATTAAAAAAGAAATAAGCAAGGATAATTTAGTCTTTCTATTTTTTGTTTTTTTAGAGACCTAACGCTTAAGAAAAATACATTATAGAGATTTTATGTATTAAAAAAAAAATTCAGAGATGAAATGTGCAGATTATCCGAAACCACAAATATCATTTGTGTAATGTTTTAAACAAATAAATGACGATCCGGATTGATTTTTGAAAAGAGAGGCTAATCATATGTTTTAGTACATATAGAAGTGGACGATTGAAGTAAATTACCCTTAATTTTTTTATAATTGTATTTTTTATTATTATTAATTTTTTGGATTGTTTGCAACAAACCAAAATAGAACTTCATCAATATTGAAAAGAGTAATCACTTTGCTTTTACAAAAATCGATTGTCAATATTGGAAAGAGTAATCACTTTGCTTTAACAAAATCCTAAATATATTGGCACCACAATTTTTATCCAAATTTTAATCCATGATTTCTCGTTAATCTCACTCAATTGTCTCCACCGAAGCATCCTATAATCCAATTGACCATGTAAAGACTAAAACCACACCATGTATAAATTTATTCCTTTTTTGTAGTTCTTTTCATTTACTAAATCATACATCATTATTCATGTTATTTTAAATATATTATTTAATGAAATTGTCAGAAAAATTTTAATATTTTCAAAAAAGTTTCATTTTAGTATCATTTTTTTCTTTTTTTAATAGAAAAGTTATGATTATTTGATTTTACATGATAATATGTATTTTCTGTTAAAAGAAAAAAAAAATTGTTAATTTGAGCCAAAATGGAATAATTGAAACTTTTATGTTAAAAAAATGGGACTAAAAGTTAAACTTTTTCGAAAATATTAAGACTTTTTTCACAATTTTCGTATTATTTAAAATTATAACTTACAAAATAACATCAAAGAAATTTTGAAAGCAATAAATTAATAAAATTAAAATATACCAGCAAGGAGCTTGAGATATCCATTTACAACAAAAGAAAATAGAAAAAAACAGCTACAAAAAAGCTAAACATAACTATCATATTGGATATACCAAAATTACCAAAATCACATGGGCCAAAAGGGCATTCCATTGCTAGATTCGATGTGGGCAACATAGCAGCAGAAGTTCTCAAGAATTGGGTTGTTACAGCACAATAACAGCACCAAGTATCGATACGAACACTAGGGATATTGTTGGAACTTGTCAAATTGTTACAAAATGTTCAATAAACTTTTAACTCATAAACCGCTGGTTAAATGATGTAAATTTGAATGGGCAATGAACTTTATATTCCCTCTGTCACAAGCATCTTGTAATATAGTTCCTCCTTGGGTAGAGGACCTGCCATTTTAATAAAAAAAATGTAAAAGCATAATTATGCTTTCTACAAAACAAATAAGTGAATAACTACTAAAAACAAAAGAAATGTCTTCTCTTTGAAGTTTAGTAATCAAATTTACGTTCTTTATTTATAAAAACAATATACAACTTTAATCCCTTTGAAATAAAGATAATTTGGTCACTTTTTTATAACAGTAAGAGGTGAGATTCCCTGAATATGGTTTTATAAAACACCTGATAATATTTAAAGTTGTTATGGTTATAAACAAAGCGAAAAAGTGCTATTCTTATACAAACAAAACGACTCTAGAAAGCATTCCATGTTTTTCAATTTTCAAGCAATAATTATGTTATAATTCAAATAATAAAAACAAAATAGTTCGGTTTTACGTGTATTGGATGAGGAATCAAGATCTAACCAATTCAGATTGAGATTTAAGCTATGAAAGTGAAAAACCAACTCCATCTTGTTTCTAAAAACAATGATTGATCAAATGAGAAAGCCTTGTTCTTGTAACTTTATTACATAAACAACCAAACTTTTCTTCCATAAAAATCGAAAATAGACAGAAAATAAAAACATAAAGTCGAACCTGTGATACCAAAAAGCAAAATTCGAACCACCTTAGAAATAC